TGAACTTAAGCGCTGAATGTAAGACACTTCCGTGTGGACCGCGCCGGGCACGAGGCGGACAATGTAGCTGAAAATTATTCTCACGTGTCGGGCTCAAAGGCCTCGCTCGGAGGGGGCTAAACTGCACCCGCGAAAGGAGGGGGGCGCGGGGGGAGCCGGGGGGGGACCGGGGGCGGTAGATTAAAGACTGCGGCAGCATCCCTATTCCGGGCGTTGCGGGCCGGACCGCGGGGCTGCGAGCTTTATCTCGGCAGGAAAAATAGGTTTTATAATACAATTATAATGAAGTAAACAGGACGGACCCATTGAAACAATGCGCCCTTAGCCTCGGATAAAACTAGACATTCCAGAACTAAGCTCGCTCCTCCGCAGGAAGCCTCCGCGGTGTTGCCTTTGTCTCCACTTCCGAGCAACAATACTCGCACTTGTTCGCTCTTCTTTCTACTTCCGCATCCCTGCCAAACGTCCCAGAAAAACCGAGCCACGTTTTCTGACGAGAAAATTGACTACAATTTCCAATTGGATCGGCTCGTCCAAAAACGTTCGTTCTTCAATACAGGGTTTCATAATTGCAGTGGTTTCTTCTGCCTTACGACACTTGGATTGCATTTTGCAAAAAGGATCCAAGAGCATTCCAACGTTGCTAGGATTTTGCAATTGACATTCTTTGCAATACAATTACTAAAATCACGCAAAAAATTGAATTTACTAAGGTATTTGCTTCATTAATTTATAGTTTATTGACAGTTAAGATGAATATTGTTTAAATGATCAGTCTATATTTGCAAGGTGAACCAAGTTGCACAAGCTTAGCGACATAGGAATGCTCTTGGTCCCTTTTTTCAAAACGCAATCTACTTATGAATAAGGTCTATCTGTTAAGTAAACGTTTAATTATAATTAAAGGATATTATATAGAATTCTATTACGTTCCTGGCATCTTAAGCTATCTTGTGTCTGCAAGTTGCAACGAAATCGTAAAAAAACCACCCAATTGCTGAAATACTGTATTGGGCATCGGACGTTTTCGCAAGAGCCAATTCAATAAATTAGGAACTATACAATTTCTGGCTCATTCTGTAAAAACGATTATGTACGAAGGGAAACTAATGGTACATGCGTTGTTTCTGGACTGAAAAAAATTTTTTACTTCCTAATCATAACTAGGATCCAAATCGGCGTTTCTCTCACGAAAGAACTTAAATACATTTCAATGTTGGCAGATTTTCTAGCGTGAATTGCATTTTTACGAAAAGGACTTCAAAATTTCTAAGGGGGAATTTCACAAATTTTTCTTATGAGCTCATGCAAAAATCAGGACAAAATTTCGACGAAAATTGCGCAGGTTGATTCTCGTAAAAAATTAAATTGTTTGAATCAATTTTGCAACCTAGGGATGTAGTTACGAGAAACGAAATTTGAGGAATCATGCTCTAAAATGGACATGGTTATGCTAAAAGGAACATGCAATCCCTATGCACACAGTTCATTTTAGCATAAATAAGCTCAAATGTGAAACTAAAAGAGTAACGCGCAACGCATGAAGTCTGGAATGCGAAGCGCGCTTTGGGGGGTTGTGCCGCGAAACGGTCCGGGGGCTTGCCCCCTATTTAAAATCGAAAACTCGCCGTTACCTAGACAAAAGAACGTTGCTAATTTTATACGGTGCTTTAATTTAAAAAAAAAAAAAAAAAAAAAAAAAAAAAAAAATGGTTTCGTTCATTTTTATGCTGATAGTAAAAATGAATTATAAATTTTGCAATTTACTCCTGAATATACTGACTGACCTGAGCACGATGATATACCTTACATTTTTGCTATTTCCCAAGCAGACCTAATATGCTAAATATGAAATTCCGCCTGATAGCGTCACAAGGCATTAAATTTTTCCACTTTGAAATCTATGTATATAAAATATCCCCTGACACAGAAAATTTTTGAAAATTACTGCGAACTCAGCTCACTAAGCTTTCCCAAATGAAAAAATGCAATTGTTTCGAGTGCACTCTCCATTTTAAAAGAATCGGAGAGCTCATTCAATGAAAGTTTTCAGTCGAAAACGATACGTCTATTCTTAAAACGCCGGTTATTTACCTAATCTGCTCATACATAGTTTAAACAGGACATTCCACCTGATAACTTCAAAAGGTAGTACATGTTCTCACTTTTGACGCTACTTTTCAAAAATATTCTTTGCCAGAGAAAAATTATGAGAAATACTTCGAACTCAGCTCACTAAGCCTCATAAACGACACAACACAATTTCCTCGAGGAAACTCTGTACTTAAGAGAATTGGATAGGAGGGCTCATTCGAAAAACATTTCGAGCAGCGCTAGGTCAATTCTGAAAACGTTGATTTGGGCCGGTGACCCGGCAGCACTCGGCACGTTCCACCGCGGTAAAAATTAAAAAAGTGAATTTTTGTCCCGTCAAAAGATCAACGTCTTAAGTAGAAGCTAGAATAAAAACTTGGTGGATAATTAATCGTCTTCTCCACATCCTCCCCGTCCTAATTATTCATTTTTAATTCGCATCTACATTTGGGCCTTTGACGGGTCGAGGAGCCTCGAAAACCGAGGCCCGGGTCGGAAAGAAACGCCGCAAAAACACTCACAAGTCGCCAAATTTCCGCCCGATAAAACACATTTTTTAAGGAAAGTTAAGATAGTTTTTCCTTGAAATTTTCGATATATCAAATTCAAGTGCTAACCAAAACTATCCAAAGGATCGCTAGTCAAATATTCACAAGTTCCCGAGAGGATTTGTTTTTTAATTAAAGAAAATATGGCAACGTCTGAAGGCTCATAGGGGGTTTTTCGTGAGGACGACAGCATTGACGTGCGCCGCGCCGCCGGCAGAACTGAACAGCGTCCTCGAGCCGGGGAAAAAAGTTGCTCGGATGATGGAAGCTGGAGAAGTGAAAGAAATTAATTACAGTTTTTAGCAGGAGTTTCTGCGAGATTTCCCTGCCTCTTTATTATCAAGTGGCTTTCTTCGGTGCTTTTAAATTTTCAGAGATGAAAAAACTTTGACGAAAACCCACGCTCGCCCAAGGAACGACTCGGGATCCGCCAAGCCCGACTTTGAGAATTTTTTCGCTGCACGGCACAACTTCGCCAGGGTTTTTTCTCGTCACTCCCTTGTCTTTCTGTAGTTTTTTATTCGACCCGACCTTTTTTTATTTTTTTCTGCACCTACTTTCACATTTCGTTGTCTCCCGCACGAAGAGACGTAACTCAATTCCACGGTTCCAAATTGACTCAAATAATTCAATTATTGCCTGAGTAAACCTGCAGAATTTTCGTTGAAAATTTGTCCGATTTCTGCATGATATCAAAGGGAAATCAGTGAAATTTCAGTCAGAAATTCTCATTGTTCTCCTTGTGCGGAAAAATTTGGCAACATTGAGATTTAGTTACATTCTTTCCTGAAACGACGGTTTCGCATCTGCTGTAAAATAGTGATATTGCAGGGTTCGTAGTAATTCCAAATTTCTCGATTCCCTGTGGTAAATCTTTCTTTTTTATGGTCGCGAGAGAAAAGGAAGGGTAGAACTAATCCAAGAATCAAATCTTTCAGGCTGTCAAAACTTAGAATTCCAACCCTTATGACTAGCTATTGAGGTAGTAACATAGTGCTGGATCCACACTGATACTTGCATTGATACTCAATAGAGGTTACATTTTTTACTCCAGTTGACATTAATAAGTTTTGTTTTGTCTTTCTATTCCCAGCAAAAAAGTACGGACCAGCACTATTTTACCACCTTGTTACATACCGATAGGGCCAAATTTTGAGTGTTTTTTTTTACTAACTATTACCTAAGTGAAAAATTCCCTGTGTCTATCGGGTTTCTTCCTAAATGCCTTGTGTTTTCACCAGAATTGTGGTAAACAAATCTTTCAAAAAAATAACGCATAATTTTGCAAGATGGCGTGAATTTTAAGAATGGTCGAAGTTAGCGAGGCCAGTTTTAGGGAAAATGAGCAATTTGTCGGTTATTCAGCGACGTTCGCTATTTACTTGGCTAATCAGGTATTTAATTTTTTTTCGGACTGGGTTTGGCCCATCCGGTTGCTTCCGGCGTTAACATTAAAAAAGGAACCTACTACCATTTCTTTGCCGCAATAAATTGTTTCATTTAAGTAAGAAACCTTTCTTATTTTAGAAAGTCGCTCCGGGTAAAAATTGTATTTATTACAACGAAAAAAACCGTCCTGTTCTTTAGCAATTACGCATTGCACTGAGGAGCATACTCCTTGCATTCAGAATAAACTAATAATTATTTCATGTAAAGTTTAAGTGGAGACCATGGACTTTACCACATCATACTAAAATATGTTTGGTGGTCACACATAGAAAACTATTTTCGCGGGAAATAAATTTCTGCTATTACACCTAACATTTTAGCCTAAAGGTTTGAAGGACAAGGCGCATTAGTGAAGTTTTTTCTATTTCAAGAAATGCGTGTTTAAAGTTTTAAAATTAAATGGCTCTCCTTATGGCAGAGAGAAAGTTCAAACTCACAGTATAATGCTTAAAAATTGAACTTAAGCAATGAATTTTTCAAAAAATATAATAAGTAACTAAATTTAGTTGAAGTCATGGATATCTCAGTTTTTTCAATCACTGCACTGGTGCGCCTTGTCCTCTGAACCCTTTAGTTGTCCTATAAAATCGGCTACTTGGAGATGTATGGGTATCTTTCCGCGACGAGGAGTCGTCACGGAAATTATTTCCTTTCGCTGTAATCATGGATTGGTAATCGGTTTGGTACATAAACACTGAAAAAAGTGAAGTTGATTTAACATTCTGGATGTAAAAAAAATTGTGCGAGATGAATTAACTGCTACAGCAATGACTTGAGCTATGTCAAGATGTAAAATGAACTGTCGTGGCGGGTAATAAAGTTCTCGCAAACTTTTTTTTACATCCAGAATGTTAAAAAAACTCGACTTTTTCAGTGAATGGTTGCTTAGAAAAATACCGGAAAACTAACCTGTGAATATAAGGAGGGACGCGAAGGAAAACAAAACATAAAGCGCAGAGAACAAATTCAACAAGCACATTTTTCTCGAATCTTCACTCAACGACAATCCAAGGAACACATGCGGTGCGAAAAACCTCTCAAGTCGTTTCCACTTTGTATATTTTACCACTTTATATTGCACGCAGTCTCAGCTGCCGGACTTCTCGACGGCGGCGAGCTTTTATGCGAAAGGGACGAAGAAGCACTGGACACGGACTCGCGCATTTTTCGCGTCATCATGAGCCCGCGGTCGCGCGCGGTTCGCGTCATTCATGGCGGAAGGGCGAACACCGACTGGCGCCACCGACGGGGTGCAATATGCTCCTCGTCCGCGACTCCGCGTCTCGCCGCGATTTCATTCATGCGACGCGCAGCGCTCCCGGCGGCAGGGTCGCCAACCTCCGGCGCTACGTTATTTTAACACATCCCACCCGCGGATGACGGGATTTTCAGCTCCGAGCTGTAAATACAGCGCCACCGTCTTGCGTCGCGACGATGCGACATCCGATAAGAGATGCATGGGTGGAACTAAGGGCGGACCTCCCCCCCCCCCCCNCCCAAATGAGAGGGATCTTGCTTAATAAGTGCGTTACATCTCTCATCTTTGATATTACATTTCGACTGCACTTCGCATTAAGGAACCAGGCGTAGGCGTACCTAAGTCATTTTGCGAGGGGGGCCTGCCTGGCCCCCTACAACCGGGGGTTTGGGGGTATGGAATACCCCTCAGTTCCCCCAGAGGGGAGTCCGGGGGGCCTCTTCCGGAAAATGCTTGAAATTTTGACCCGGTTAGGACACATTTTCAGGCTTCCATGACGCAGACTTCCATTCATTAACGCCGGAAAATACGTTTATTTTTCCACTTTCCCGTGAATCGATCGAATTTTGTCGACGGAATCGGTGTCGACTGATTCATCGATCGATCGACTCACGTTTTCGTTTTTCGATCCATTCATGTCGATCGAATCCATACCCTCCAACCGCAATGCATCGCGGCAATACATACGCACGGACCCCAAAAAGATCATCACTTAGACAATTTCTGAGGATAAAGTGTTTTGATAACATGGAAAAGTCAGTTAGAAAAATGGGAAGGTCAAGAGCGTTATGTATCCCTGTGTCTATCTGATATGAACCCTCCATACGAACCTCCTGAATGAGCGCCCCCCCCCCCCCTCCCACAAAAATGTACTAGTTCCGCCGATAAAGGGATAAGATATCGATAAGTGGTCGATGAGTGCGAGTGTTCTAGCGTGAGATATTTAAAGTCTACTGGCCGAAGAGATACTTATACGAACACGATTATGCGTGCGGTGGTATCAACCGAAAATGAAGGCGAAAATGGTATAGCTACTTGCGCGACGTGAATGAAACCGTGTGTAATGGTCGCGGTTCCAAGATTTGGTGACATTTCAAATCGAATTTTTAACAAAACAAAACAAGAAACTGGGGCTGGACAGAACGGGGGTTCGCGTTTAAAGATTGGACTGCTCGGCAGTCTGGTTAGGTCAACGAAATAGCCAAGGGAAAAGACCTCATCAGAAAATCTGAGTTCAACACCGAGAAATCCTTCTACGCTGCCGTGCTCGGGAAGAACACCGTATGAGCCTTCAGACGTTGTCATGTTTCCTTCGATAAAACTGACTTTACTTGGAAAATTGAGAATATTTTTCTCCCAAATTTTCAGACAATTTTGTACGCAATTTACTCTAAAATGTCTGAAAATTTCCAAGAAAAATGTGCATGAGTGTCGTCAAAAATACATAGTTAATCAAGGAAAATTTGGCAACTATCGAATGGTCATACGGCGTTCTTCCTTAGCACGGCAGTATGTTCGTTTAGACGCCTTGACATTCTTCATTTTAGCGATTTGTAAATGCTCTTACTGAGTGATGATTTTGCCTTTCAGAGTTTAGATATTTGCTGCATAACGACGGTGAAACTACCAAACCACGTATCTCGGTCTGCGACGTCGCAGACTTCCTGTCATACTTTATTTTTTAAATGAAAAACTACTTAACATCCAGTCTTGAAAATTTCTGTGATTTTTCCTCTTTGTGCGGAGAAAATTCCGTGAAAATTTCAAGGAATGATATTGATTTGGTCTACTTCAAAAAAATAAAATGTGAGCGTAGATTTTTAAACACCGCAAACGAGATACGTGGTTTGGTACTTTCACCGTCGATAATCAATTGGCCGAAGACCTAAAACAAGACGTTCCAACGCAATTGCGTTGGAAGGCGCCTGCGCCTCTCTCAGTGGCAGAGGGAACTTTAGGAAGTTACTCTACCAATGTCAGAATGTAAAACTTAACTGCTGTGGCGGTTAATTCAGCGTTTTGTGAGTTGCCACTCTCTTTTTTACATCCAGAATGTTAGTTATGTGTTTCTGCAGAGATATCAATAAAAAACATCACTAAATATTAGACAAGAATATGATAATACTTATCAAAAGAGAGAAAAAAATTGTTAAATACGTACCGCCGGTAGGTCATCCAATTGCCCGACGCCAGGCTGAAAGCACTCACAACACTGTCACTGAAACTACACTGAAAAACATGCCCATTATGTAACATTTTAAAATATTATTAATGTCGAATGAGGACACAAGTTCACTGTAGAGTGAACGAATTACAAAAATTTTCTATGCTGATTTCAATTCTGTCCATGTTAGGTGTTCCAAACGTAGTGAGTCTGATAATCGGTTTTATATATCGGTATATATAAGTTAATCTTATTAAAAATAAAAATAAAAATAATTCAAATGGATAAATCAAAAGTTCAAAATGATAATTCGTCGCCTCACATAAAATAGCCGATCTTGCCTACTTCCTGTTTTTGTAAATTTAAATTGAATAATAATACAATTAATGAGTTGCTGAAGGCTAATTTCTTTGTAGTTGTTATTATAATTATCATTATAATAGCTATTAAAAATTGTATAATTTTAACACTCTTGAAGATTTTATATATTATTATTATTATAATGATTTTATTATTTTATCTTTATCTCTCTATATAGGTAAAAAATAAGAGGTAAAGAGTAAGAGGTAAAGAATAAGAGGTAAAGAATAAGAGGTACAGAATAAGAGGTAAAGGGTAGGAGGTAAAGAGTAAGAGGAAAAGAATAAGAGGTAAAGAATAAGAGGTGAAGAATAGGGGGTAAAGAATAGGGGGTAAAGAATAAGAGGTGAAGAATAGGGGGTAAAGAATAAGAGGTGAAGAATAGGGGGTAAAGAATAAGAGGTGAAGAATAGGGGGTAAAGAATAAGAGAGAAAGAATAAGAGGTACAGAAATTGATCATTATGAGATCTGTTCGGAAAGAATCCGACCTTGTTGATTATCTCGCCATCAACGGTTGATAAGAGATTAGGGCTTTGGGATTATCTTGGTGAGGACTCTCCTGAGTGTAGGTACACAGCTGGATTATCACACGTTTAATCAGTTGGTGGTGAGTTGCTGATTTATGCATGCGATTCTGCTGTGATCATCGGATTTCGTTTTTCCTACAAAAGAAGAAGTTCAGAAACTTTCTCTATTTTAGGAAAAACGAAATCCGATGATCACAGCAGAATTGCATGCACCAATTAGCAACTCACCACCACGTGTGATAATCCAGCTGTGCACCTGCACTCAGGAGAGTCCTTGCCATTATAATCCCAAGCCTCAACCTCTTATCAACTGTTGATGGCGAGATAATCAACAAGATCGGATACTTTCCGAACATATCTCGTACATTTACGATTAAATAAAATTAAAAAATAAAACCACATGTACCCACTACCAAAGCACATGCACCCGCCACCAAACCACATGCACCCACCACCAACCCAAGTCAGTCATAGTCAGTCGGCCACGGGCTGAAAGGAGTTCGGGTCCCGACACAAGATAGAATGGTAAAAGGAGTTACCGAGCCATTCCTCTGCCTCGTTACTGCCGGCTCCGGGCCGAAAACAGCCCCGAACGGCAGCTACAAGACACAGGAATGCTTCGGGAACGCCGTTCACCAACCTTCTTGTGTCGCGGACGCGAACTCGCTTTTTCCCGTGGCGGGTAACCAGGCTCGGATAAAAATGGTGACACTGAGTGTACCGAATGGACACACGCACTCAGGATGGCTGCATGCTCATGAAGCGTGAGCAAGCACCCACGCTTGATGACCACCCAACCATCATGAATGCACGCACATTCGGGACACTTGGTGTCAGTATTTTTACCCGAGGTAGCAGAGGCCGATTCGAAGGAATTTCAATGGCCACCGTCGGCGGGTACGGGCCGGCGGGTCTAGGCGGTCCGCAGACGGCCCCTACTCGTGCGACCGCGTGGTCCACCAACGGTCGGGTTGGGACGACCTGCCGGAAGGTCCGTCGAGCATTCCGTGGGATGGCACTGCCACCGGCCTCCCTCCACCTCCAGGCTGAGGTTGCTAGCCCCCGGAAGCGAAGTTCGGTCGGTGGAATGCCGTCCAACGGAGTGCTCAAAGGGCCGTCCGGCGGGACGTCCCCCCGAACGTCGATGGACGACGAGGGCGCACTTTTACCGGATCTGGCGGCGGCTGATCGTTGTTGTACGCTACGGCCGTGAGAGCAAGTCGCTGCGGCAGCGCAACTATCGAGGAGCCCTCGTAAAGAGAACTCACCCCAAGGCTCCGAGTCGCGTTTCCTTTGGAGCGCAGCACGTAGCCGCGCTCCGAAACGCGACTTCATCGAGGGGCCCCCTTAAATATAACTCACCCCCAAGTCGCGTTTCCTTTATGGAGCGCAGCACGTAGCCGCGCTCCGAAACGCGACTTCATCGAGGGGCCCCCTTAAATATAACTCACCCCAAGGCTCCAAGTCGCGTTTCCTTTGGAGCGCAGCACGCAGCCGCGCTCCAAAACGCGACTTTGCTTTTCATGCTCACCTCTTCAGGTGTGCTTAATAGGCACCCACCGTTGAGAATCTAACCTAACCTAACCTAACCTAACATAATGAGCTTCTTAAGTAGTTTTACTTTCTTCAATTATTATTATTATTATTATTATTATTATTATTATTTTTTTTTTTTTTTTNTTTTTTTTTTTTTTTTTTTTTTTTTTTTTTTTTTTTTTTTTTTAATTTTTACTTTTCAGTAAATCTATTTTTTTTTGACCGAAATTAACCCACGAACCTTAGCTCAAAATATGCAAGTTTAAATTTTCTTTCAAGTGGAGTTAATATCGTCCTGAATAATTTCTGTGAGCTAAACGCGCTCTTGAACGCGTGCTCAATGAGCAAGCTCATGAACGAAAGATATTGCAAAAGAGAGGGGCGGAAATAATGGTGAAAAAGAT